AAACCCTAAACCCTAACCCTACTAAGCACCAGACAGTCTCAATCACGCAGATCTACTCTGCACACCAGACAAGACATTTGAGATCAAGCCGATGCGGAGTGAGCGAAATCCTCACCCTGAGCCCTACCCATAGGCCCCATAGTAGGGGTTTAGGGTTTAGGGTTTAGGGTTTAGGGGTAGTTCCTTTTTGGGATTGCCCAATAGGATCCCAAATATAAGCCACAAAAAGGAACAACTATGGGGCCTATGGGCAAGCCCTGAGACTTTTGCCAGGATGGGACCCTATGCGCACACGATGCGCAAAGATCCCGAAACCGGCAAGGCCAATTGGATCCTGGTTTGAGTCGTAAGCCTCTATACACCCTAAACCCTAAACCCTAAACCCTAAACCCTAAGCCCTAAATCCTAAACCCTAAGCCCTAAGCCCTATAAGCCCTAAACCCTAAGCCCTAAGCCCGAGGAGCAAGGAGGGTTGAGGGTCTGGGCTTCGGGCCTAGCGGGTTTAGGGTATTTGGGGGGTAACTAGGCTCAGTTAGGGTTTCAAGCATAGGGTTTAGGGTTTAGGGTTTAGGGTTTAGGGTTTAGGGTTTAGGGGGCGCCTTATCTACACACCATTGTTCAACCTTCCACTGTGACAAATTAAGAAGCCATTCTTATGACTACCAATAAATGAAGTCATAGCAAACATCCGAACCCTTGTCTACCTAATTATGGAGGCCCCGATACTAGACACTGAATAATACTTGGAGAAATCAGCAAGTAAGATTTTGAGTACTTCAGATTGGGTGAGAAGTAATTACGACGAGAGTTGCCTGATTCTTAGCCCTGGTTACTTCGTCCCGCGATCCTTTGAGTAGGAATGGTATGGTAAGACCCATCTTTAAATGGCACCCCAAAAGTTTATGAAGGACCCTAAGTTCAGGTGTATCCTGTCGGCCGCTTCTTCGCATCGCCTCGGGAGGAGCCCGCTGTTCTGTTGTGCGTCAGACTCTGTACGGGTGTTATTACCCATCATAGCATAGTCGTAGTAGTAGTAGTAGTAGTAGTAGTAGAAGTAGTAGTAGTAGTAGTAGTAGTAGCAGTGGTATGGTATGAGATTGGAATTGGTATGTGTATTTGTATTGTAGCACTTTTGATTGCAGCCAGCCTTGCATCCTGTAATCTGAGACATGCACCCGGAATGCATGCCAAGCCCACAGTCTCAAACCCTAACAGACCCTCACGGTTTAGGGTTTAGG